ATGACATGCAGCGACTGCTTCGATACTCGAGCAGCGCTCAGTGGTTTACGTGCCACTTTACGTGCATCACGAGGGCCTCGCCCTCGATGCCTCGGCCTTTGGCCAACCATGTCACGCATGACATGCAGAGACTGCCAGCGCTCAGTGGGTTTCGTGCCACTTCACGATCGGCCCGCGAGCCACGCTCAGGACTCCTGTCCGATAGACCGTTGTTGTCTACCAACTTGGACGTTCCAATGTCCAGCACGTTGACCGTCTTGGTCCAGTGCTTTCGCCAATAGCACTTTTGTCTCCTAGCAGAGGTGGGTTCATGACTCACTAAAGCTCCACCAGGAGACGTGTGCCTAGCGCCAAAGGCCTTTGACCTCAGATCAATCAATGGTTCATGGTGTTCCAACCGTGCCATTCCTAGGATGAGGGTATACCTTGCATCCATGTCTAAGACTAGACAGCGTCCCACGCTATCAAAGTCAAGGAACTTGACTCCGATATCCACAGGGACCTTCGGGACTATGACACGTGTCCCCGTCAATAGGCGAATAGTGACGATGTCACTCAACCGCGCTTTCAGCGCCTCAGCGTACAGCTACTTCCTTCCATCATGGAGCGTCGAGCAATTATGCTCGACGCCCCAAAATCGATGAGGATCTTCCATGGCTTCTCGAAGCCCTTTACGGTCGCCTTTACGACCAGCAAGCCCGGCTTGCATACACGTTCCGTGTTCAAGAGCACGGAGCTCTTCGGGGCTGGGCCCTGTTGACCTACCAAGTCGTGCCGACTTAAAAATTGAACTCGGCATTCAATGCCACATTCACCGCCTCATCAAACGAAGACGGTTGCACACGGAAGACTTCCATTCTGGCCACGCCAGTGCGAAGGCCTTCCATAAAGACGGTCATTGTGATCGCCTTCGGAAGGGGATCTGCTGCCATTCTGGCAATGAGAGTGCGCATCTCTTGGACAAAGTCCACCAACTCCTTGTTGCCCTGTCGGGCGGCGAAAAAACGCGATCGCACGCGATATGCCTGATTACGCGGCGAGAACACTCGTGAGAGCTGCAATTTCAGCTCCGCGCAGGAGGGAAAAGCAGGTTTGACCGAAGTCCCGCAT